ACGTAAGTTCTCCGGATTCTCATCGTCTAATGCCGGTATGGAAACATCATGCCACTCATCGTGATCACGTCTAACCTTCGACTGATTCACACGTACCACTGCCTTACCAGTGTTGGCTTGGACCATAGCTCCTTCTTGTCCAAGTACTGTGGCACGAACCCAACGTCCTTTATCCCTGAACTTTGATGAATCCTGAGTCCAAATAAAAACCTTCTCTCCTTGGAAATAAGGACCGTCACTTGGCATAGTCCTTCTTGCAAGATCTGCTCGAAGGTCCTGAGCTTGTCGTGCTTCTTGATGAGCTCTCAAAGCCACACGTTGTAGTTCCAAATTTGTACGATCTTGTGCGGCGGCATTAGCTGACAATTGCTCAGGGCTTGCGGTCTCAAGGTCAAAAAGATCTGGTGGACGTCTTCCAGTTGCTATCTCTATTGGTGAATATCCACTGATAGTCAACTGACAATTTCTTGCCCAAACTACCTTCTTGACCACTTCTCTGACCGTAACACCACGAAAACGTGGATCATCCAGATCTACCTTCATAACATGCCACATACGTTTGAACAAACGTACAGCTGTCTCTGCTCGGTTTGGCCAAGGAGTTCTGGGTCCACAAGGACATTGTTGTATACCATGAAACCTGTAGTATTCAACAAAAGCATCTGTGAAAAAAGCTTCGTCTCCTACGATGGCCTTCGGAACACAGTTGTTCTCATCCGACCACTGCCTCAATGCTTGGATGGTGGTTTGATCTATGAGGTCTTTCTGTGCCGTAGCCCAGAGAAGATTTGTGGCACCATCAAGAACAAGTAGAATGATATACTTGTTCTTGTGAAGTTCAACCTCACAATGATCAGCAAAAACAACATCACCAAAACATGAAGCTCTAATACCGGAGACTCTGGCTCGTGGCGGAGGTGCCACTGAAGTGTTACAAACACGGCAGTTCCTGACAACTGATTCATACTTCTCTAAAACAGAGTCAGGAAGCTTCAACATAGAAACACGTCTACGAAACTGAGTAGGACTCATATGGTAGTGCTTCACATGAAGCTTATAAAGCTCTACCTTGTCCTCCAGTCTCTGTAACATCTTCCTATATGCCGGTGTCATTGCAACAACTTCACTACCAGGTAATGGGATTGAAATCCGCCTAGGCTCAAGAGCGCCATCACCTGGTTCAAGTGGTTCATGTTTATCGCTTGATTGTCCTTTTGATGCTTTAGGAATTTCTACAAGTTCACCTTCTGGCCTCTCAGGTGGTTCTGAGGGAGCATACTCCTCAAGATCATCACCCTTTAAATCATTCTGAGGCTCAGATGTTTTCGACTTGTGTCCTTTCCAAAATGGATCAAAACCCTTGGAAGTATACCGAAACTTTGGCGGCACGGGCTTTTCCGCGGCACTGGATGGTGCACCTTCCTTCTCTGAAGAGAAGCCTGGTTCCCTGTCCTTTGCAATGGGAACCTTCTCTGAGGAGGAGCGCACCACTGCATCGGGATCACCAATGCCACGGTGCTCAATGCCAGCCTTCCTGATCTTTAGATCTGGAATTTTGGCATCTGGTTTGAACTTAAAAATTGTTCTACCACGCCATTCATAGCCAATTTGTGGGTCCTTCCATTTTGCCTTGCGCCAATCATCTTGCTTCTTGATCTCTTCTCCTCCTTTCTTCTTCTTGATGATTGTCAGTCGCAAGTCTTCCAGTAAGTCAGTGTCTACAGGACAGGACTTAGTTGCTGGAAAAAGAATCTTTCTATAATCCTTGTGGTGACGTATCAGTTCTCTCTTGTGAACATCTACTTCCCAGTAGTCAACCACAGGATATGCATGTTCAGCTACATCTTCATCACTATTGTGGTCAACAGAAATATGACCATATTCATAGTGAGTGAAGTGAGAGTAAAAACTCTTCTCGCGCCGAGTCTGCAAATTCACGTCAGACAGATACCATGCAATATCTTGGAAGTCCAAAACAAGATGAGTACTGGCTGCAACCTTCAACTCCAAATATTTGATACCAAGAGGCACCGATGTCAGATAAGCATGTTGAGGTGTCAGCCTGAGTTCAAAGCCTAAGTTCCTCATCTGTGGCAAGCTCATAAGCAAAGGGACTTCTCCTTCTTCCACTATGTCGAACTCTGTATGTTGGATCGTCCATGCACGATCATACATGTAAATCACCAGTTTCTGAGAGCAAGTAGCCTTCTGTGAATTGGCAAAGTAAAACTTGCTCTTGGTAGCCTCAAAAGAGTACCATAATCCACAATCTGGGTGATTGTCGACATAGTTGCAAAAATGGTCGACTGCTCGCCTTGATCCCATAGCTCTAGTGCATCCAATGTCCAGGATTGCAATAGTCGGCGGGAAGCGATTCTCAGTCAAAAATGAAATGGCCTGCATCTCCTTCACTTCTTCCTCAGCGCTCATAAGCGCAAAGCCATCAGGAGCCTTTGTGAGCATCTCCTTTGACAAAGAGTACCTCACAGGGGCACTCATGCCATCGAAGATCGTCTCACCATTGTTGACCGCGCAGTCAGCTTCATCTTGGCATGAGGTCATCATGCCTGACAGCAAGATCACCTCACTGTCATGGACTTCAGCTGCTGCTGTCACACAATGTGCAAAGAAACCTTGTTGACCTCCTGATGCTTGTGAAGATCTTGAAGGTGCAGGCAAAGAACGTGGCTGTTGTTGATTTGCATAATTTGCATCTTGTTTGCCATCTCCTTTATCTTTTCCTTTTCCTTTCTTGCCTTTTCTCTTGCCTTTTCCTTTTCCTTTGTGGGAAAACCATGCTTCTTCAAGCTGTTGCCAAAAGTCATTGGCATCTTCATATTCTCCTTGAAGATAGTCATTCATATCTTCGGCAAGAATGGCATCATATGCTACTTGGTTTGACTCCCAAGTGTCCTCATAAGGATTCTCTTCAAAGTATTCATCTGGAAAGGTTGTCTGTTGCTCATCAGCAAAATGGCCTTTACCTCGTCTCTTTCCTTTTCCTTTTCCACGAGGTCTGAAGAATCTGCGGCCTGATCTTCCTTTACCTTTTCCTTTTCTTCTACCTTTTCCTTTGCCTTTTCTGGCTCTTCTTCCTTGGAATCTCCTTTGGAACCACGAGAAGTTTTGATCATCATATACCCAAAAGACATCGCCCAGGGCATCTAAAAATCCTTCTGTTCCATCTTCTTCATCTTCGGCCCAATAGCCAAATGTACCATCGAGTTCTCCTTCGTCTAGTACGAGAAATGATCTTCTACCTCCAGCACCTGTCGGCTGCATCAAAGGATTGTCTACTGAAGTCTTTGTTGTGCAGAACATCTCGATGAACACTGTCCTCAACTCTGTTGTAGTGTATTGCTGCAGGACCCTGCCACGATGAGTCATCAAAGAAGTCAAAGTGTTTCGCTGGTCCTGAGATAAATCTGCAAGTGACAGCATGAGTAAGGCAATGAGATTTTCTCCTAGAGGAAATTCGTTCTGATGAAAAGTCCTCATATTGCCATTGATGGTCTGCATGATTTCCTGAATCCTTTCTGCCGTTGGTGCTACTCCAGTCAACGCTGCATCTGCCTGCATCTGAGCTAGGACCTGTGGATGTGCTTGAGTGACTGGTTCTAACATGTCCATCCAACTGCTCATAAGCCTTTGGAGTAAAATCTGGAATCTTGTCATCCATTTCATCATGTCAGCTGATCCTCGATTGAAGCGCACAAATTGCATAAATCTATACAGGAATACATTGGTTGATCCTTTCACGAAATATGGTCGTAGTACTCGTTTGAAATATTCTACGCCGGCTCCTGGTGGATCATTTGCCTTCAATGCATCTCTGTCTAAAACACGCTTGTATACAGCTGCTTCTCCTTCTAATCTGTTTCTCAATGCTGGTCCTCTTTTCTCATCTTCCAGCTCGGTGATATCACACCAATCGTCTATGGCATCCTCATAGGAAAACCATGAAGTCTTTCCATCATAAGATGGGGGCACCTTTGTAGTGACCTGTGTTGTCATTGCTATTGCTGCTGGTTCTCTTCTCACATGCCTATTCACGTAGGCTGCTGGCTCATAAGCCACATCCGCATCAGGCTCTTCCCAGTCGTCTATCCAATCCATGGCTGTTTGCCCACTAGCAAGTCTATGCCTAGGAAAGGAGCTCACCTGGGTCTTCCAGGATCACTGCTCCGCTACCACTGAAAGAGTGACTAGGGCGTACACGGTAGAGGTGCAGACCGCTAGTGTCTTTTATGCGCAGAGTCTTATCCTCTTGCTCTTTGAGCCTTGAAGCAGTCAAGTATGGACACACTATATCGGCTGTTGGAGTGGAACCCTGTACAGGTAGGCTCTACTTTTCAAGGGGGGGGGGCGTCAGGCCGTCGAAAAATCCGCGCGGAGAGACAAACCGTAGGTTGAAACCAACACAAGCAATACTAACCAAAACAATCCACAAAACACGCCGGCAGGCCGGCGGATTTTCTGGTGTTCCAGGTTTCCTGTCAACCCACATCTCACCAGCCGACCTTTTACTGGCATTGGGTCCCGTCTTTGGCTTGACTTTTAATGTTTGCCAAAACACAAACGGCCAAGCTAAGCATCCGTATCCTGGCCCTAGAGTCCTAGAGAAATCCATGCGAAGAGATTCGGCCTCTTGAGCCGGATGGAGACAAAAGGACCATGCAATGACCTCCAACCTACTACATTTGTGGGAATATGATGTCGGGTTCATTACAGTTGGCTCTGGACTTTTGGCTTTGTCCTCCTTGTCCATCCCAAACCATTTGCGCACATTTATGACCGTTTCGCAGTGTAGAGAGTTGACAGACAGGACTCCAGGACATCTATTTGGAGGGGGGCTCGCTGTGTGGGCTGGCCATTAGAGATGCTTTTCGCCAGCGCCGCATCTCTTTTCAGGGTATCAACAGACCGGGATTCTGCCCAGCCTCTCTACCAGTCGCCTGGCACTCCGACTGTTTCGTTTGCCACAACCAGTGGATCATGAGGAGCTGGTGATGAAGACCAAGGCGGCTGCGAGTGGGTTTCGGTCAGACCCGAGTGAACATGAGAGTGGAGTGGTGAAGAGGTCACCATGCCGGGGTCTGGGTTGAGGGACTCACCAAGGGGAAACTCTGCCGGGTAGCGATATGAGGAGAACCTCCGGCTACTGTAAACCAGCTTGGGTGAGATGGAGATGCAACATACGCAGTGAGGATATATGATATATATATATATAGAGAGGGTGTTTTGGTTCATGATATGAATGATTTCTGGACACGATGAACTGGAGCCCACCCGGGGTAGGACGGACAGGCAAAATCACCAAGCGAAACCACGTCTACTTGCCGGCCCAGAATGATTGCAAACATGATGAGCTTCCACTGTCTGAGATGGAAGTCGAGGTTTGCTAGCCTCTCCATGTGACTGAACTTTGGTGCTGTGCCCATTTTCGGATCAACGCCATGCACATTTTCTTAGGTTCTTCGGCTCCACCCCACGTCAGCCTTCTTCGACATCCGGCGACTGGACCCACTCCTGCAGACTCCTGCACCTCAAAAAGACGATGTGCTCGCCAGGAGCAGGAGGACCTTAACCAGCTGCTCACGACCTTGTCCGAATCGCACACCCAGTTGATTAACCTCATCCAGAAGACGTTTGGAAGGGAAGGGAAGGTGGAGCTGGTGCAGGGAGGGCGGATGGTGCCGCATCCGACGTGTTGAGCTGGTCTCGGACCGAGCAAACGACCCACGGCCATCGCCACAGGATGCACAGGTCCAAGAAGTTTGGGGTGTCCGATCTTTGTACATTGTAGGTTTGTAAGGCTGGGGTAGTTATGGTACATGCTTGGTAAACACAGGGTTTGGCACTAGAGTTGGCCCACTGATCACTGGATCGGAAGGAGTTATATATATATATATTTTTTTTTTTTGAAGCAGAGAATCAATGAAAGTCGTATCTCAACATATCAAGGTCACGTTGGCCAGCTCACCTCTATAGGAACCTGGGAACAGCATTTATTGCTGGCAGGGATTCTTCACCAAGAACAGATCCGATTTTCTGGTGGTGAAAGGAGCTGGCTTTCAAGATCGGTGCAAAGACACATAGTTAGACGTGACACTTGACAGTTTTTTCTGCTTGTGGCCACTTCCTGACAAGAGGTGACTTTCTCCACGTCAAGAGTTCCTTTGGTACCACATGTTGCGAGTGGCTGAGTGGCTTCTTCCACGCGACCACCCCCCCGATATTGTTTGCAGATCTACTCCTTGGGGCCTATCACGAGTCGGTGGCCCTTCGCCATTCGCACGCCCCACTCCGCGGGCTTTATTGGGTGGGTGCCCCACTGAGGATAGCAAAGGCCACCGACGATGAAGATCTTCAGGCTGTGGTGTGTGTGGAGAGATGAGGGACGAAGGACAAACGAAAGGAGTGTACACTTTGACCAGAGACCAAAAGACAACTCATCTATATTCAAGCCGCAACACCTCTGGTTGAGGCTGCTGCTATGTCTTTAGGGGCAAAAGAGTTGATTAGCTGGGGGGGCTAAGAACAGCAGGAGTTTTGCTTTGTGTTTTCCTGACGGGTCTGGTTTGGGGGACAGAAGGTTTGACCTGCACCTCTTGGAGGGTCACTGTGTGCCGTAATGGTATGTTATAGTCTGTATAGAATGAACATGGTGAGAGGTGGAAAGTAGAAGGTTCCCTCCGAAAACACTGAACTCACCGGCGTTGGCCCATCACCATCACTCACCATGTTTCTTCAAGAACAGGTTTGCAAAAATGGGTCGGAGGCGCCCGGGACTTTGCATTGGATTTGAATCACTTGGACTGGAGTGATGGTGATGGTGTCTTTGAAGCCTGAGGCCTCTGTTCAGTCGGCTCTGTTGAAGGGTGGTCGCAGTGATTCGCAGCCGTACCCAGGCGCTTTGCGAGTTGCTCCCCTTGTTGGACGACCTGATGAAGTTGTACCCCTCCGAGTGCCCAGAGGCTGAGAAGGCGCGAAAAGATTCAGTCCGAGTTCAGGCTGAGCCAGTATTAGACATAGTTATTTACAGATATTTACAGTAGATTCGATCCTGTGGCTACGTGCCCTCCCATGAAAACATACCAACTTGGTGCTTTGGCTCAAGAAAAAGCAGCTTTTGTCCGTTTGAGGATGCTTAGGTTATGAGCCCAAACAGGTAGCCAGGAAGTCCACCTTCCATTTGGAAGTTGCTGGTCTCCATGGCATTCCAAGCGAGGCGCCGCCGCTCACGAGAGGCAGAGCGGATGGTGGACCCCGGTGACAGACCGGGGGTGCTGCGGGTCGGCGCAGCGGAAGAGCGGCTGGACAGGCTGCTCGAAGAAGACCGTGAAGGAAGGGCTGCATCGGTGCCGGCAACCACAGCTGCGGTTCGAAGGTTGGCAGCTGCTCCAGGCCAGGCGACCCAGGCGATGGCAAGTTCCTCAGCGAGAAGGACGAGCAGGGAGCCGGAAGGTCGTGCCACGAGCCAGGAGAATGGGGCAGGGCAGGTGTCGAGTGAATCGGTGCCGGGTCTGCTGGACTCAGTTCGACAATCGCTGGAAGTGTTGCAGCGGGCATTTGGTGGCAACCCCCAAAACCAGGGCCTATTAGCTCCTCTTTTACATCCCCACGATCTTGGACATCTTGCCGGTAGTGTTTCAAGGTTGAGCGCCCCGTGGATCCGAGCTTTGAGAGGGTGGAACATCGTGGAGTGACTATTTTGCTGGGGGTTCTTCCAGACCAAGTCAGAAAGGATGTCATTGCCTCCAGGAAGGTCAGTTGTTTGGGAATTCTTTTTCGGCTGTACACCATCTTCCAACCAGGGGGGTCGGCCGAACGAACAGCACTTTTGAAGAGCATCACCGACCTGAAGGTGGGTCATGGGGTGGCGGACGTCCTGTCAGGGAGTCGCCAATGGAGGCGCTGGATTCAACGTGCTCGGGAGTTGGGTCTTGCAACCCCGGATCCCCTGGTACTGGTGCAGGTGCTGAATCGAGTCACTGAAGCCTTGGGTCGACAAGGAGGAGCTCAGGTTTCATTCAGGATGGCTGCAGCGAGGCAAGATCTAGCTGTGGTGAGGAAGATACAGTTCAGGTGGCAAAATTCAACCTGGATGAATGGCGCAGACATGTCAGGATGCAGCATGTGCCATTCAGGCGCGGCTGCCGTGCTTGCATCGAAGCGATGGGGATGCAACACCCTCATCGAAGATCAAAGACAGCATCAGCAGCCTTCACCCTGGCGATTGACATCATGGGTCCGTTCACCTACGGCAAGGATTTAGCGACTGGAAGGATGGCTAAGTATGCATTGTTGGGTACTGTGCCTATTCCAATCCCAGATCAACTTCCGGGGGCACCTGAGGTGGAGAACTTGGAGGAGCTCGACATCGAGGAAGGTGACCATGTGGGAGGCTTTGAGGAAGAAGAAGCTGATGATCAAGTCCCGCAGGAAGAAGAAAAAGTCCTGGAGGAGGCAGCGGCGGAAGAGGAAGAGCTTATGGATCGAGTTGATCATCAGGCTGTCCAAGAACTGATGAAGCCTCACAAGCTCCAGAACATCACGATGGTTGAGATCCTGGAGGATAGAAGTTGGCTGGACTATCTCGACTACATGCGCGCTTTCGCTGTCTGGGTGTCAATCTGGTGAGATTGCATAGTGACAGAGAAAAAGGGCTGCTATCAAAAAGGGTAGCTACATGGTGTGGACACAGGCGTATGATTCACACATTCACTCAAGGAGACGACCCCCAGAGCAACGGTCGCGCTGAGGCTGAAGTGCAACAGGTCAAACGTCGACTCAGACTCATTCTCCATCAGTCCAAGGTGGAACCAGCTTTGTGGCCGGGAGCTATCCGGCATGCAGCGGAAGAACGATGTCGTCAACAGCTTCGACACTTGGGAGTTGCAGTTCAACCCATGCACCGCTTTGGTGCGCTGGTGGCAGTTCGATCAAAGCGATGGCACAAGGCGGGACAGGTGGCAAACCCATTTGTGTCGATGCAGCTGGTTGGCCCTAGCCCTCTGATGACCAATGGCTGGGTTGTGAGAAGGGGGGGACAGAGTTCAGCATGTCAGAGCTGCGATTCAACCAGTTCCAGAAGCTGATCAAGCCATCTTGGAGTTGGAAGCAATTGATGCGGAAGAAGTTCGGCATCGCAGAACAGGAAAACAGAGTCTGGACCCTCATCCATTGGAGGATGTGACCCCCAGGCTATATGAACCAGTGGAAGGAGCTGCAAGACCTGTCCTGGCGGCTCTCACGCAATTCAGGACAGGGGGGGGGATCTTGACAGTTTTTGCGGCCCGATCCAAACCCTGTGGAAGAAGCTTCAAGCCAGGAAATGAAAGAATGTCCAGATTGTGGCTTTCTCCAGCAACGACGAGGAGGTCAGGGAGAAGAAGTTGGTGATCGACATCAACGAGATCACTGTGATTTTTGTGGTGGCAAGGAGATGGGATGGGGAGCTGAACACGACGAGTCACAGGTTCGGGGGAGGAGGCATGTGATGTGGAGTTGTGTTCCTGGGCCCAAGCCCACCAGTGGTATGAAGATGATGTACAAGGCCACTGGGTTCTTAAGAAGATGTGGTTGGAGCAGTTGAACTCGACACCATTGGGGCCCGAGCAGGGAAGAGAGCATGGCCAATGGCTTCAGGAGCTGGAGGAGAAGTTGAGGGTTCAGGAGGAGTGTTTGACAAGGCAGCGCACGGCATTGGAGAGGTGGAGGCTCGCAGCTCTGCAAACCCAGCAGCAGGATGAGAAACCACCACTGGTGCTACAGACCTACACGGTCCCTTTGGCGCAGGTGCGAAGGGAGCTGCATCAGTGGGTTGAGCCATTCAAGGATGAGTATTCCTCGCTGTCTCAAACAACTCGGGCCATCTTACCGACAACTGAGGAAGCCTTAAAGCTGGATCCACGATATCCAAATCGAGAAGAAGCACCAGCGATGCTTGTAACCGCGGTCAAGAGCCCTCATGGACGTCACCGTGCTCGGGTGGCCATCTGCGGAAACCATTTGGTTCGATCTCAAGCGGAAACCAAGGCCGTCAGCCCGCTGATTCAAGTTCACCCCTCGAGCTATATGCAGGGGGAGCAGATGCCACTGTGCTCCGAGCTCTCCTCAGGAAGAGTGCATTGGAGAAGTGGACGACCGTGAGCCTGGACGTGAAGACGGCGTTTTTGTTGGCTCCACGTCGAGATGCATCTCAAAGGCTGCTGATCACTCAACCTCCAAAGGTCCTGATCGAGGCTGGAGTGTGCAAGCAAGGGGAAATTTGGGAGGTAAAAAACTCCCTCTACGGCCTTCAAGAAGCTCCAATCAACTGGGCGATCTTTCGGGATGAGGAGATGGCCCAATTCAGGTGGACAGACAAGGGTGTGGGGTGGCGCCTGGCAAGAACTCAGGAGCCAAACTTATGGAAAGTGGTCCTGGATGCGGTGCAGGAGGTCAACATGCCAGACAAGGTCTATGCCGGACGACATTTTGATCACAGCAGAGGACACTGTGACTCAAGCCACAGTTCGACGATTTCAGGAACAGTGGAAATTAATGCTCTTCTCCTGAATGGTTGAGTCAGGATCATAGCTTGAGATTTTGTAGGAACCTCAAGGAATCCGTCTCCACCAGAATGCCTACCTCAAAGATCTCTTGGCCAGGTATTCAGATTTGAAGTATGCAGCAAGTCCACTGCCTGGGAGCCTCGACGACTCTGATGAGCATGATCCACTTTGGCGGACCCGCTTTCGAGAGTTCACTGGGCTGATGTCGCGAGCAGACGTGCCGGAGCCTGAGTGGAATGGCCTCGGTGTGAAGAAGCTCATCGGACTTCTGAGTGGGTTGATAGGCATAGCTAGTTGGCAGCCGCTTCAACAGCAGGCCAAGGTGGCCAAGTGTTGTCAAGTGTAGCGATTTTGATGGGTAGGAGAGGAGGAGAAGACCTGTCAAGATTTGGGGACACGGCATCAGCTCGGACACAGGCATCCAGAAGGAGCGATGTCGAAACAAGAAAAGAACAAGATGAGACAAGGGAAGATGAACCTGTCTCCCAACCGGGACGCGACTGTAGCCCTTGGGGCTCCCGCGGACGCGAGCGCGAGCGCGAATTGAAGCCATGGATGCAGCCGCCTCCCAAGCTGAGCGCCTTGAGATTGCCGATCACCCATGTGGGCCTGGGCACCGACCTGCCGTGGGAGCTGAATAGATTCCAGACCCCACCAACGGGGAACGACAGGTGGGAGTGCCTTGGAGTGGGATTGGGAGGGGGAGAGTGGTGGGTCAGAGTTTTGAAAAAGTCTAGAGTCAGATCCTTCCATCCACTTCATCGTGGCACACCTATGTCCATAGGGAGACTCTCAGCAACGCGAGTCACTGTGGCCTTTTCTCGGGGCAACCCCCGAGAGGTGTGGAAGAGAACCGTAGTGACGGACGATTGGATAGAGAATCGAAATTCGGACTTGGAGGGACACTACGAATGGTGTGGATATGCTTTCTTCTATGTGAAGTTTGGAGCAGTGCAAGAAGGGGGCATCGGCGCACAGGGCCGGCATGATTTTCAGCCTGGTCCGCTTCCTCCTGCAGGGTCGGTTGCTCCGACTCAGGGCTATCGGGGATCAAATCCAGTGAGTTCAAGGGCGAAGCAACGAGGTCAGAAGGCCTTGGAGCAAAAGGATCACCTGACAGTCGAGGGCGGCATCACCTATGATGGGGCGGGAGTCAGTGCATGTGACACTGAGTCCATCGAGGGTGGCAAGATGACGGGCTATGAACTTCGTCTGTTTGGGTGCGGCCGACGGGGCGAAATTGACCTGGACCCGGGTCAGGAGGCAAGAGATCAAGCACAAGGGTCTGACGACCACCTACCTCCTGAAGCTGATCAGCTACCGGTGTGGATGGGCATCGAAACGCCTACACTACTTCCACCCGGACATGAAGGTGAACCCGAAACTGAGTCGGATGATAGTTTTGAGCTGGTGTCCCAGGGTGGAAGAAAAAACCTGCCCTAGGATCACCGACATGTGTAATGGCAACGCCATTAGGGGGGAGTGTGGCTACGTGCCCTCCCATGAAAACATACCAACTTGGTGCTTTGGCTCAAGAAAAAGCAGTTTTTGTCCGTTTGAGGATGCTTAGATCCAAAGCCACAATGTGTTTCTTCAAATCCACTTTTAGAGGGTTGTATAGATTTTTTCATGCTCACGCAAAAATGAGGCCACAGAAGTTCTTGGCTTTTGAAGAGAAACCAACATCCAAAAAAAGGGTCAGTGCCCATTCCCGCCATGTTTGTGTGCGCTCAAGCCGTTGACGCAGCTCTTTTGGTTTGTGCCAGAAAGCGTTTTTCAGCATCCAGTGGACAATCCTTGACACTCTAGACACACATCACTATGAATGGGGTATAGTATGCAATGCAAGATCTCCTGCCCAGCCTCATCTTGACTCACGGCGCTCACCGGTGCCAGTCGGCATCTGATTGAAGCGTCCCAAACCGCTGAAGCGGTGAACGTCCGCCGTCCCCAGGAGCTCAAGGCTTTGGCGTCGGCCAACCGCGAGCGCCTGGAGCGGGGATCTGGGGCCGGCCGGCTGGGGCGATGCTCCGGTTTAGTTGGTCTTGACGTGGGGATTGAGGGAGTCAGCCATAGAGCATTGACATTCTCAACAGGAGCTTTGCTGATGCAATGACACTGACAAAGACAGTAGTGCAGAGGTTTTTGGACTGCACTGCTGCAGGTCATTTATTACCGGGGATAAGTTTGGGAGGAGTTTTCTTGATTCTGGATATATTTTCGGTACAACCTCTAAATGGCCTATTTCCATGACTGGATCAGTTCGTGCTGGTTTCCTTGAATAGATCCAAGAACATTCGGAGGGTGTGCGAGAGAAGAGATCGCGCCATAAAAAGGCCTTTGTTTGACTCGGTTTAAAGCTTTGGATCATTCCCTCCGAACAAGGCACAAGCCTCGAAAACAACTACCCTCCCAACAACGACCATGATCACCATGGTGAACATGGACTCCTGGGCTTGATGGTCCTGTAGTAGTGTCGATGTGGCAGCACCTGAGGAGAAATACATATATATATATATATAGAGAATCATATGCTGTAGATTGACAGAGTCTCCATCTCTTCCAGCCTGCTCTTCTGCCATTTCCATTTATCAGCCTGTGTGTCTCGTGCAAACCACGCGAGCCGCCGGCAGGAGCTCGTGCGCCGGACGCATGGCACCACGAGCGCGGAGCTCCAAGCGCTCTTGGAGGCCGCGAAGAAGGTGGACGGAGCCAAGGTGGCGACCGAGACCTGGCGAGGGGCGACGATTTGAACTATTGTTTCTAGTAGCTTCTTGTTACTACTAGTAAGGCACTTGTTACTAGAAGCGATGCACTTGTTACTAGTAGCTTATTGTTTCTATCATGTTAGACTCTTGATTTATGAAAACCTTGAAGCCTCCCCCCAAGGCCTGAAGAGGTTTTACACACATTAGGGGAGATTTTGGCTCATCAACAGTGTACACTAGCCTTTCATGGGGAATGCTCAATGCGATTTAGGGCGGCTGGAGCCATTAGATGGCATGGGGAAGAAGAAGAAGCAGAAGCAGAAGAAGAAGAAGAAGAAGAAGAAGAAGCAGAAGCAGAAGCAGACCACTAAGGACACGCTCGACGCGCGCCTGGTGGCCGGCGAGAGCATGAAAAGAGAGACTGACATCTCAGCTGCAGATATGGCCATGGGTGAAATAGAAAGACCTGGAAGGATTGCAGTGTAGTTCACAACCCCAGGTGTGGAAGGGCAGGGGTACTTTGATCACCTGCACGGTGGATCAGAGAAAAATGGTCAATACAGACATGAGAATTTATAGAATCGCTACAGGATCCACTCTGGCTCTCCATTGTTTTCACTTTCCGTGAATTCTATGTGGTCGATTGCAGGGCCGTATTTGTATCTACAAAATGCCTATGACTTGGGTCACCGTCACTTGTTCGTGGACCAGTTGCTCGAGATGGTGGCGAGCGTTCAGACCGTTCTCCGACTTATTGGTGCCCTTTGCTCACCGGTCGATATCCATCATAGCATGTGAGTACTCACCGGTCGGCCTCAAACTCCAGACATGTTCTCTATTTGGTGAGTACTACGGGATCCAACTCTGACTGAATCCGTTTCAGTGTGTTTGGTTTCGTTGGGAGTTCGCTTCGCTCAGGACTCTATCAAGAAAACCTCAGAAGCTGTGGACACAGACGAGTGGCCCCTTGGGATTGCAATTTTCTGGTACATATTCGGCAGCGTTCCTTTGGAGGAATGCATGGGTCTTTTCAACTAGTGTAGAGGTCCTGAATCAAGAAGGAAACTTGTAGGGAATTTTAGTTCCTGCTTCTTCCCTTCCCCTTAGAAGATCCAAGGTCCAAGATGTCCGAGGAGAAACAGAATGAGGCCATCGAAGATGAACAATCGAAGCGCATCCGGCAGCGAGCAGTGGTGTGCCTTGGTTCTGTTCCGTTCGCTCTCCGTTGGTGCCAACGGACTACCCTACGACGATGCCTTGGAAGGTCCCGGGTCTGTAACGGATTATATAGCCCAGTCTTTTTGAAACGGATCAGACTGGGCTGAGCCCCCGAGTGCCCCCTACCTCAAGGAACCATTCTGACTTGTATGTCCCAAAAGTGGCTTCACCTTTTCTATCCTTTTTTCCTTGAACCCTTTGCAATTCCGCCCATGGTCGAAAATAGCGGGGCTCCCCACCCACGGGCCCAATGGTTTTTTGGCGACTTGGGATTGGGGTTGCTGAAAGTGGTCGACTCATGTCAATGTGGGAGTGATGTGCAGGTGTCTCGAATGGGAGTGATGTGGCTTACCATACCCTGGGCCAAGCTTCTGAGGATGAAGGAGGTCGTGCCAAAGTGCCTGGAGGACAGCTCTTGGCCCAAGCCACTGAAGCTGAAGGAGATCTATGACCAGAAAAAGCAGGCCAGAATGGTGAGATGGTGAGATGGTGATGTACACTTCCCCTAAAATATATATCCCGTGATGAACTGGCGGTACGGCCTTCTTTTGGTCGTACCACTCGCCGTGCAGCGAGGCCACGGTGGTCGAGCAATGCGGCAAGAAAGCCGTCAAGGATCAAGAGCGCTCCGAGGCCGTGATGAAGGAGCTGCGCGAACACCAGGAGACTCTGGATGCTTGGAGCAAAGTCGTGTGGTGGTATGGAACTGTGGGGAATTGTGGAAGGGTATGTCCAAAGTTGTGTGTGATTGGTGGCACTACAAAGTTGTATGCAGCATGGAATTTTCGTCCATGGTGGATGAAGCACCAAGAAATAAGGGCTCATAGACTTCCCTGACTTCCCACAGTTCTGGATACAAGGGAATGTCTTATTTTGCAGAGGGCAATGTGGCAACCGATGATTCGGTTCCAAGTTCCAAGGAAGAACTGCATGAGACTGCCGTTCTGGGCGCCGACGTACGCCAACGTACCCCAAAGGAGCTTCTGAAAGACCAATCTTCAGGCAATTTAGACTGTGGGACTTTTCTGATCCTTTTCCAGCTTTTTCGCGGTTTGTGTGTTTCTTCTATTTTGGGCCATTTCAGTTCATTTCCAACATCCCTGCATTGGTATGGGCATAGCAAAACCACGGTCCCCCCCATATGATATGCAACAATGCAACGTTTAAAGATCAACAAACATATACAGTATATTATTGTTTACTTTTAAGTATTCTTTTTTTCCCACTTGGCAACGTGTTGATGTGGTTCCAAGTGTCGTCACCTGGACCGAAGTGCCCGACTTGCAGACTGGATCTGAGGGCACCGACTGGCAGACGTGCAAGGAGCTTTGCAAGCCGCTGAGCATCACTGGCTGAGAAAGAGCATCCGGTTGAGCATCCCAGGAGGGCCTGAGATTTGTGAAGGATTGAAGTAGCTGTGGATCAAAACCAGGGGATACTGTACCTTGGTTGATCTATATACCTGGGAGGTCAAGCTGGTGTTGGGGCTCCAGGTTTGACCCAACATGGGGCCGCAGCCAGGTTGATGACGAAACATGACGAAACCACGTTCACGAAGAACGACGTGGGCATAACGACGGCTCAACACCCTGACAAGCGTTTCTTGTTGGGCGAGGGTCGAAGGTGGTCGAAGGGTCCATACCTCCCTTGTGAATACTCCCTGCCAGTACCACAAGCTAGAATGACCCGTTCTCAGTCCCACGAGGAAAGACACATCATTTCGTTGTTGATTCGTCAACCAAACTCCCGCAGTCCCCCATAGAACTTGGTGCCGCCCAACTGGCGTCTTTTCCTTTTTTTGCTTTGTTCCTGAGGTCAGAGCAGAAGGCTGTGAACGAGAGCATGGAGAAGGTCACCCAGACCCGCCAGGCCCACGAAGCGGCCTTGAAGGAGTGCAGTCCCCTCGCGGCGCGGGCGCACGCAGATGGATTGGCGCCACGCAGCGAAGGTTTTACTGGAACTGCCCCTGCCGGACCCCGCCCGTTTCGTGGCTCTAGTCAATGAGTTTGTGCAGGTCAATGGAAATGGTGAGAACCCTCCAACTGATGGAGTTCAGTATCTTTTGGTCAATCTTGGTCTATGGCCATCTAGGCCCACAATATACCACCCTAGTGAAAAACCTAGATTTCCAGAGTGGGCCGGGTCCAGGTTTGATGTTTCTTTACTTTTCTTCGGGGATGGCAAAGCTGTGCATCCACCCTGAGGAGTACCTCGAAAACACCATCCGCCACGAAGCCGCCGTCATCGTTGAGGCGAGCTCGGCGACTTGGAGGGTCGACGACGGGTGGATGTTAGGCAAATGAAAGCACCATGGCTAGTGACCAGTGGGGATTACAACGAGACGCCGCACATGGATTTTCGACCAGGTTTTGGCCGCAAATCATTTGGGAAGATTTTCTCTGTCCCCCAGCGTCCCCCAGGACATCGTCTTTGATAGCACCTTGTATGGGTGTAACCATGAAGGATCATACAGGTCAGGCCCAGCCACCAAGCACTGCTTGATGAGTTGCGTCCCACCAGCTCTGAAAAGGACAGGGGCTTCACAGCCTTGTGATCATTCTACGGATCAAACCAACTGGTGGGACTTGTAGTGAGATCATCGCCTCATCTGCACCAAAGAACAGAACCAGCTCCTTTTCAGCAAGACATGAAAGCTCTACACAGCAGGCAATAAAACCATGACAAGCCACGACCTTGAACTTGAACCTTGAATTAACTTCTTCGCCTATGGCCTTCAGACCACAGAAAGATCATCTCTTCCCTTCCAGCTCAAACTGTTTCTCTTGCTTCGTTGGCAGGGAAAAATTGCGGACAAGGTGGCGGCGGTGGAGGACGAGATCGAGCAGGCCGAAAAGGCGCAAAAGGAGGCCAAGGAAGCAGCAGAGGCCTGTCACTCGGAGGCCTGCTGGGATGGTACGGATATGGATGGGAGGAGGGATGGGAGGATGGAGAGATGGTGATGAGACAGTGATGAGTGTGATGGTGATGGGATGGGGATGGTGATGGGGATGGTGTGGGTCAAGAGCTGGATCCCCAAAACCGTGATGAGTTGACATTTCTGGTGATGGATTGTCTTCGTTTTCAGGTGATCAGGGTCCTAGGGCCCTAGGGTTTTGACCCCAAGTGCTCCTCAAAGGGTATATACAATTTCTTTCTTGTTTCTGGGGCCATGGGAGTATTGGCTTGGTCGTAGCATGAGTGGGTGAATTCACTCATTGGTTTAGGGGGTCCCCCTAAGTTTGAGTGACTGAATGGGTGTCAAAAGCAAAAATAATCTTTTGGAACCTCAACCTTGAGAGATCTTTCCCACAGTTGACGAGATCAAATCCGCATGTGGAACCTCCGCAACCTCGGGTAGTGGGATGTCTCTCCGGAACGGCTCGAGCCCACAAGCATCATCCATTGAAACACTCAAGTGTATCCTTAAAGGTACACTCTTGCAAGCTCATTTGCCAAGGAAGTCCTCACTTTCCCAAACCCTCCAGAGGTGATGATATGACTGAACTGCCTTTTTTTCTCCTATATTATAGAGTTTGGAGGTGGCCATGCTGTCGTGTGGTCATTCAACTGAAGCTTGCAAGAGTTTGAGGGTGCGTTTATGAGGGCTTTGATTGCACTGTTCGGAACAGAACTCTGTTCAAAGAGATGAGATGCCCCCCTTGGAAAATGCATGCAGCCTGGAGTAGATGCAGCATGAATCCAGTGGAGTGGGTATGTTCACTTCTTTTCTTTTGTTCTTGTTTCTTTTGGCCACGCTGCTTGTATTGAAACACCTTTCCAACAGGCTGGCGGGTTCGTGATTTCTTGCTCGCACAGCTCACCAGCCCAACTTGGCAAGGCGCAGGAATCCTTCGAGGAGATCCACTCGAAGGTGAAGGACCTTGCTCCACCGGCGGTGCCGTTTCGGCAGAGCCAGAGTGGTCCGTTGGTTTTTTCTGGAATCCATCCATTCTTGGAGTGGCGTTTTCTTGGTTTTCTTGTCCATCAAGACTGTCAGAAGGGCAGTGTCTAGAACTCAATTTCTTAGATCACAGTTTTCCGGTAAAAAGGTTAATATGTTGGGCAGTTGGTCAAAAAGCCTTTCTCGGGTGGAGAAACAGCAGCAAAGGAAGACGGTGGGTTGCTTATCACGATAACCTATCATTTCCTCCAGAGAAGTTGAATGGGATCTTCCTGTGAGTTCTATTTGATGCCTTGATTCCTTGATGGGAGCCTGCGCAAACGGTTGGGTTTGATTTTTGCTCCTTTCGTGGAACATCTTGGGAGACATAGCTTCCGCCCCTTGACCCACCGGGCGGCACGAATTCATCAGGTTGCTGGATGAAATGTCCACAGGAGACGGCCTTGAAGCTCAAGGAGAAGGCCTTCCAGCCAGCCTTCATCAGTGTGGTGAACACCGAGCCTCGACATGGACAGGTGCTTGTGTAATTACTGTGTGGCGTTTCACCGGCTTGAGCCCGTGTGGCGCCGTTGCGAAGCCTTTTGCTGGAAGAGATGGGTAGTTCGGGCAGTTCAGAGATGGGTCGTTTGCTAAGCCTTTAGCTGAGTTAGGGTCTGGTCTTACCGACTTTGCCACGACCGCTGAGGAGTTCATTTGCCAAGTCACGCAGAAGTTGTGTGAGGAGAAAGAGGGCTGTAGACCAAAGAGAGAGGGTTGGGTGGAAGTGCATGTTGTTGTTGTTGTTGTTGTTGGGTTTCCTTCTGTGGTTAAAGCGGCAAAAATAAGAGTTGCTGGAATCGAACAAACACGTCGCGCTCTCGTTGTCTGAAAATGACGGTACCCGGCTTCCCCCAACAGAAGCCTCAAATCATGGGGGCCTTTTGTGGGGCAGGGTCTCCCGAACGATCCTGAACTTCCCGAGACGACGGCTCTTTCTGGGAAATCAGGTACATGTACCTTACAAGCCCAAAGACCCAGCAAAACCTGGTCTTTGACCTACTCAAGTAGTGTTTTTGTATGACCATGTCCAGAAAAATGAGGTCTTTGACCTGTAGGGTGTATATTAGATGCTCGTCCCCCCTCCCTGAGGTTGTGATGAACGTTGGACAACACCAGTCTCCCCACAGCTCCACCTTATTGCGAAGCATGCGCCGGAACACGCGAGGAGAAGCGCAACCAGCTTGCACTCACGAAGAAGGAGAAGCAGATTGGAGGGGAGATCTAAAGCAAGAGATCGTTGCTCACGTGGTTTTCGAGATTCTATGGGCTATGGGCGACGAGTCTTTTGTGACGCACACCGTGCCAGAATGAGGAAATCTTCCACGATGGGGAAGTGTGAAACGGTTGGATGATGCACACCAATTCATGCAGAGTATCAGGAGCTGAAGAAGGTTGAGAGTGCCAAGGCAGAGAAGGCCGAGAAGGACGTTTGGGGATTCACTTGTTGACCGACTAAGGACGTGGAAAGGGTTACAGATGGTTTATGGAGGGGTGTCTGCCGCCGGATACAGATTTTGGATGAGAAGGCCTCCACCATTTACAGCTGTTAAGCGGTTTGCATAGAAGAATTCATTTCGCCCAGGCTTCTCGGCTCAGCTCAACTTGCACAACTTGGTTTTTCATGGTTTTGGTCTTGGTGGAATCTGTCGTGATGGTTCGACGTCAGAGGGTTACCTTACGTTGGATCCATTCGTTCGGAGATCAGACTGTTCGGACGACGGCACCAAGCACGTGTTCTTGGACCAGACGTTCAGACGTGGCTCGGTGTCCCAAACTCCAGGAGCAGAGCTGCAAAGGCACGAACAAGAGCAAACTGCTCCTCGGTGTGAGGTGTTTATTCTGGTTTGATTGTTGGGGCAGCTTGAATTCTTTGAACAATCTTGAGATTTGATGTGGACGCCAAGCAACCTTCGCATGCCTTTGGGCTCTGGCATTTGTGAATGATTCCAATGTCTCTCTCAGGGTGGCTGACCGGCTCCGGCTCCAGCAGAAGGCCGAACTGGGGGACGGTGAACGGAGCGTACGAAGAACAGAGCGTCTGAAAAGTATGAGTTTGCCAACATCTGTGAGCATACCCTACAGAGTATGTAGTCCAACTGTGGGCTGGTTGCACTACTACTTCTTTGCTCGTGATTCATATTGTGGATGGAATCCCACAACAACAACAGAGGCAGGTGGTCTTCAATCCATTCCCTTTCCACTCCCACGTTTTTGTTCCTTCACAAGACACAAACATTTTTCTCCATGGTTCGACCCAAATGTTCACTTCGGCCTCGATATATACTGTATGACTGTATGTATATATATATATATATTTGTATGCATAGACAGATGCATATTGCATATTGGGGTAACTCTCAGGTCCAAGACTGTTTGAAGGGGGGATCCTTTCTTTCTATCAATTTTGTATCACCTGTTGACTCCAAGCGGCACCTGACGCAAGACCAGGCGAACAAGCTAAAAGAGGCGGAAGAGGAGATCAAACGGCAGCAGAACGAGGCCGGGAAATGGTGTAGCTCAACTTGCCGAGGCAGTGGCCACCTTCCTGAAATGCATGTAGCCTCCAAAGCAATATGACCAGCTATGCGACGAAAAGGGAAGTGATTGATTGATCGGACTTCTCAATCCAGCTTGAAGATGTACCCACATACTGGTAGAGTGAATCGCCTTCTACTTGTATTCTGGGCACACGGATTTCACTTGTTCCGCCTGATTGGGGCTCAACGTGGAGGACTATTTCACCCTTTTTGAGGCCTCAAAGCCCACTCGGGCAAACGTGCGACACCGCTCCTTGCACTGGCTGTGCTCTGATAAGGCAGAAGACCTGTACCGCCAGGCTGACGAGCAACGGGAGGACAGCACTGGGACCAGGAAGCTCTGGGTCATGGTTCGGCCCCTGCTGGTGGGTGTACCAAAGATAGAATTGAGCAGAGAACGATGTTTAGAAAAGGGACGCACGCGAGTGATAGCAAAACATCTTTGATGTCTTAGAACCCTTTGAAGGGGATGCACTAGAATCTGAATCAGTAGTAACTTTGAATCACTGTACCGTCGTTGTGAGGTCCATTTACAATGCTCAACTGTATCACTGTCGGATTTCGTAGAGAAGCTTTACTGTCGCATTCCTCGGCACGGAAGTCGTGGGGAATTTCGCAGAACTCCAGCTCTTGGAAACGGTTGTTCATCGCGACAGGCGCCGGACCGAGTCACGAGTCGACTGGCAGTGCTTTTGATCGGCATTTTTGGACCGTTGTTTGTGGGTCTCAGACCGTCCCCTAAGACTGCCAGACACTGGCCCGACGATGAGCCTTGAACTACTTCTGGCTTCAGAATCCGAAATGAATCACCTTCTAGTCTCTTTGTACACAGGGAGGCAAACATGCAACTCTTCAAGCGGCAATCTTTTTGTTTTCGGTCTCAGGAGCTGAAGTGTCTCGCCGAGCTGGGCTACGAGATCGACTCGGGCAAGGCCAAGGAGACAGCAGAGGCGAGACCGGGACCGTCCAGGGCCTTTTGAGGTGGGGTGGGCGGGTTCTCAGATCAGTAGAGCACAACAGGAGAGTTTTTTATTGTTCCGAGTAAGATGAAGAGAGGCTTTCCACATTATTTCCCCGTAGATTGCGCCGCCCACACGTCTTTGAAGGATCTTGGAGAGGGGGCAATCTGATCCAACCTTGTCTTCTGGGAGATCTGTGCTGCCTTTGTTGTATGGGTAATCCTTACTTTCAAGGGACTTGGTACATAACTTATTTTTTGTGTGTGTGGAATTTGAACTTGACCTTCAAAGTGGCATCTCAGAGCATTTCATCTACCAAGCATTCCGGATGACGACTCAAAGCTTCTCCTTTCTGCAAAGGTTGGGCCGCCCACGCGCGACCGTACGATGTGTGTTGCGCCGAGGCCGAGGCCGAGGACGCCTTTGGCGAGGCGATTTTCAGGGACGAGGAGGGTGATGACGGTGACGACCTCGATGAGGACAGCAGCGCCGGTTCCACGGGCGGGGAGGTTTCGGGAGAAGGCGCAGTGGAAGGAGTCCCGTGGCCCAGGGGGCTTGAAGCATGTGGAGGATTTGGATGTCAAACTGCCAAAGTCAAAGACCACGCGGATTCACAGATAGTTTCCCAGTGTGGTAGGGCGAGCCTGCTTCCTGGCCGCGCCGGCCGCACTGTTACTGCAAGCACAGGATATCTCAAACATAGCGTGTTATAAAGATTACCGCCCGTATTCTGGAGGGAGTAGATGGCTGGCACAGTTAGGTAGACGATTGACAGCATTTCAAGCCATCATTCAGCCAGGCAGAGCCATCCTGGAGTAGGTAGATAGACCATGATCATTCTCAATCGGCCCTTTCTGCATGCGAGGAGGACTATGGCCAAAACCACGCCCTGGCGCCGCTTGGTTCAAGTGTTGGTGTATTTCGCTCTGGCGCCGGCCGGGTCGCGATGGGTGGAACAGGGTGATGGAACTCTCCCATGACAATCGTCCTGGCTGCTTAACAACACGCGGCGTCTGAATGATCGATCATTTCTGAGAGAGGGAGGGAGAGGGAGAGGTTGAGGTTGACAATCAGATTACTCCCTGCATGTTTGGCTTTAAAGTATCTTAAAGTTTCGCAAGTGTATATGGACAGTCGCAAGATCGGGGGATAAGTGCCTTGAAGGCCCGTTGATCCACCGGAAGTGACGCTGTGAGACATCCCAGCTGATCTTTGGTCGCTTCACGGTCCCAATTGGTGTCCTTTTGCATAGGTAAACGGTCATGGTTGCAGCTTGTTGTCCACATGCTCAGGAATGTCAACCTCCTGAGCTGAACAGTGCTGTTCATACTGCCTAAGGCTGCAACATGCTGACGTGTTGCAGAAACTCCAGCAATCGCTGGAAAAGAAGGATCAGGAGCTTGCCAAGGAGAAGGAGTACCGGAAACATGCTGCGTGCCCTGGCTGGTTGGCTACGAGTGTTGTTTTACTACCCAATAACAGCAAGCCAAACAAATTTGTTAGTGTATTACTTATTCTTTTCCCAGGGTTTAGTTCTCTTTCTGGTTCAGATTGAATTACTAATACTATATATGTCCATGTTGAAGTGGGTGAACCTACCTCCTTACTCATTTCAGCTGTCTGGCGACCGGGTCTCTTCTCTTTCCAATGCACATGTGGCTGTGGGTGTGTTTGTTTCTTTGTTTGTGTTTTTTGCTTGGTGTCTTGCTTTCACATCGTGCGCGGGGTGTGCTTCTCTTCTTCGTTTCTTTCCTCTTTGCTGTTGCCTTCAGACAGGCAGCAAACCCAAGAGGCTCGGGAGCAGATGAAGAGGATGGAATGCCGAGTGCAGGAGCTGGAAGGTGCACAGTGCACAGTGCTCAGTGCTTCGATCGGGTTGCCCCGGTGACGGTACCGTTGGTGACGGGTCCCGGGGGGGATTCGTGGTTGGTTCCCGGAACGACGGTGGAACTTGTACCTTGCAAACCCTCCTTCTGCTTGAACGACGTTGGCCTCCCAACCCCCCCGCCTCACGGCAGAATCATGGGTTTACGGTGTGAAAGCTTCCCCAAGTGCCCTTAATGTGGCTGAGTATAGGTTATTTTGTGTAGCTAAACCTTCAGCGATTTCACTCCTGAGGATCCACCAGTCCCACATTGGCACCAGATGGGCATCTGGCAGATTCGACCAGACATCTCGGAACAGTGACGGGCCCTTTTTTTTAGATTGATTGCTGACTCATCATACCGACCAAGGGTAGTCCCAGATCCTCTCATCACACAATCCAGATCCTCCCCTCAACAACCCACATCCAGACACATGGATCCCGCCGTTGAATCGCTGTGGTTCGCCAGCTGCTCTTATTGTGCGCGACTCCTCCTCCGCTGAGCGCACCACGAAGAGCAGCGGTGCCTTGGAAGGGTGAAGTTTCGCAATCCATTGGGAGGGATGGGTATGGTATGCTGCTTTCACCGCTTCTGATTAGGCCAAGAGTTTCAGAATTGGATCCCTGGGCTAGGAAAGGTGTATTTTTGGAGTCTTTGGTCTTTGGTCGACCAAACATCATTTGACATATATAATGGCAATTTAGTCAACCACACTGACATCTCCCAGGATCTAAGTACCTCTAGAAGGCTGCGAACATGTCACCATCAGGCTGCAGTGAGTCTTTTTTTGATGTGTTTTTCACCTCAGGTCCTCCGCCGGCTCCTGAGACCGCCTCAGGTGGACCGTGCCCTGTGGGCTGGACCGAAGTGACCCAAATCGCCCGCGGAGAGCGCCGCGCCCTGAGTTTGAAGTGGAAGCGCCTGACAGGATTGGGAGGATGGACGACCCATTGCATGCCTCAAGTGGGAGTGTCCATTTTTTTTGCTTGGGGGAGTGCAGATGATGAGCTAGTGACAAGAGAAGTTCCATTCTTGACTGGCCAGTCTTTATGGTGAGGGGACATAACAGATGAGACATGATTCACTCCCCAGAGCATTTCCAGACCCCCCACCAACCAGTGCATGCAAGAATTTTCACTTGGTCAGCAACTCACTGTGTCTCAGATGTGTTGGGGGATTCACCAGAGGCCATCCGGGACATGTTTGGTAACTGGAGAAGCTCGACTCCATAGAATCTTCACCGAATTTCCTCCAGAGGCATGTCATATGATGTCCCACTTCGATTCATGCCCTAAGATGATCATTTTGATTTCTCCCGCTTTTCCACGCCATGTGGTGCGACCTGATGACAGCGGTCGCCGTGCATAGGCTCTGCCCACTCGGGCGTCGCCGAGTAGGCGGGGACCGTTCGCCCTACCCGAGAGTCGGAGTAGTCGGGGAATGGAATTCCACGAGACATGCCGGATTGACCAAGATGGACCAAGACGGTATGAGTATAGTCTTTTGTTTACTATCTAGAATTCAATGAGAATGTACTGTATCAGATTGTATCCCTCACAATGAATATGTAGAGTAGTTTTCGCGGCCACCACTGGCTGCTGCCGCTACAATCCTGTAGGCGCTTGAGCTTGTGAGAACGCTCCCTATGGCGCCTTTGCCCCGGCACCAATACAAGCCGACTGCACAGGCAGGGGAGGGACTCAAAACTCCAAGGACAAGCTATCTCATCAGTGATTTATATACTCGAGCCTCTTTTGCTCGAGGAGACGGACCCTTTAGGACCCTATCAGCATAGACCGCAGCAACATGTACCACCATGTGCTCGGGGCCTCGCCAGGCAGGATCAGCAGTGCAATCCTGAGTCGAACTGGCGCGCATGTCGTCACGCGGTGTGCGCGCAGAAATTCAGAGCTGAAGAGTGCAATTTTGTGGGGAAGGCGCTAAAGCTTGCGTCCGTACCACGTCAGGGTTGGGGCACACCCATCTCCAGTCTCATCAATTGAGCAATAAACGCACATTCCTCTTTCTAAGAATGACCTAACCCTGACACAGCTTTTAAGAAGACAGTTTCAGCGTTTCGGAAGTTCCAAAGAAGAGTTGGCTGGAGATCTAGACGCCGGTAATTATAGTCTAGAACTTCATGGTTGAGCTATCTATCATACAATATCATAACAAACCGATTTCCGACCATTCTTCTTCTGAGAAAGAACAGCAGCTTGTAGAGTATACAAGCCACTTAATCCGTGGGCGATCGGGGAACCTGGCGAAGCGGGCGACGCTCGGTGATCTGGTGAGTTCATTTCCCAGCTGGGAGCTTCCCCTCACCAGTTCCGCTCTGCTGGAAGACTCCCGTTCGACCCCGGCATCGAGTCTGATGAAAAAGGAGCCGGACATCTACTTGAGGCTTTTCGTTGTGGAAGTCAAGCACGCAGAACACATATAATCCTCTGGATTTTTCTCATTTCCGGATATTTGGGAAGTCCAGAACACATCAATCAAAAGCTCTGAAACATGAGACATGCAAACAAGTGGAACACCGAAGCCGTGGTTGGAGGGACTCCGATACACCGAATACTCAGGGGTCACGATGTGAGCACGAGCTCACACCGAAAAGACATGGAAGCCGAACGCTGAATGTGGAGGAAGACGGCGGGGGAAGGTGGTTTGAGTGCATTCCACGGTGGATTGAAGTGGTCGTATCATATCTACTGAATCAGTGGATTGACTGTACTGCCAGGCCTCAGGTTTATGCTTGATAAACTGATTCTGTAACATCTCTGAGATCAACGGAAGAGGACACCAGCAAATCGGACTTTGGCGCAAATCACCCTGTAAAAGGTTTTGCACGAATCGGCAGCTCACTTCGGCTCAAAGACGTCTCTCGCTTCGGCGCCATGGCCTCGCTGTGCCAAGGCGACAGCTGCAACGAAGGCTCCGGTCGATTCATGGTGAGGCTCGAAGTCGTGCAGAAGACGGAGTGGAAAGATACCGTCTTCGTGTACGGCAGTCACCTGGCTTTTCTTGGCGTGCTTCTCCATGTCCAGCGGACCAAGCATCCTTTTGGCAATTCTTTTTTTCCGGCATGTTCTGTGTATAGCCGGAGGTTGCAAGCATGCGACGAAATTGGCCGGAGGTATCGGTTGTTTCTAGTCTCTTATGTACTTGGCGATAGGACATCAATCCCCATTTCCGCATGTGACTGGCCGTTTGTCTACTGGAATCAACAAAGTGCTGCTGTTTTTATTCCCTGTGACCCTGGCACCATGGGGCGCTCAGGGGCACCCTGGGTGATCCCCAATCTTCCCAGCTGCTTCATCCCACGGCCCGGTGCTTCGGATCCGTGAGGCTCGGCTGCACTGGGCCAGTGGGACCTCACGAAAGCTCGAGAGATGTCCTGCGAAGGGACCTATCCCGCATGGAGAGTGGACACTCGGCGAAGCAATGGGACCGAAAGGAGGTGGGAAGCGTGGTGAAAGGAGGTGAAACCGGTAGTGGTGAACGGAGTGCTCGAAGTTGGACCAGCTGGGAACCAATGGACTTTAAATTCAGGATACTTCAGGCCCAATTCACTATGTGTGGTGTACAACCGTATAATTAACATTGGTGGGCTGAGTTCGTCTGTGGACTGCCGACCTTGTGCCGACCTTGATTCACAGGTATATAGACTGACCAACTTTATGGAAGCCTCTTGACGGATCAACGACTTCGGAGTTCAACCAAATGGAAACTGACAAAAGCTACCAGTCGAAACAAGTAGTATTCACTGTGAACTTTTGACTTCTTTGGTGTTCCAATGATGTTCGACTGCCATCAGCTCGACACGGTTTGACCAGGACATCAACTTTGGTTGGGAGGATGCCGGGAAGACCGTTGAGTACAAGTTTCTGGTCGAAAAAGGATCATCAAAGGAAAGGAGACTTGGCGGATCTTTCAACAGGCCACGGTTTACACCTAAAACCGAAGCCGTGGGCTCAGTGCGCATGTCAGTCTGAGCCTGGACTACGAACAAGTCACTCAATGGCGGCCACGAAACGGTGTTCTGAACGAAACGAGTGAGGTTTGGGGTTGCCTGGTCCAGTGCCAGGTAGATGGACCCTTCCTCAGGATCTTACAGTAGAATATTAATCTCATGGCATATTGTTGTGTTTGTTGGGCCTTGTCTTCACGACACATCTAGATCCATTCGCGAACAAAGAACTTCTTGCGCCATTGTTGTTGACCAGGAGGAATCACCTGCGTCTCACATCAATACATCAGAAGCCAGTACAGACAAACATGCGGCACGGAGGGCAGTGCAGAAAGCAAACCGAGAGCACAAGAAGGAGAATATGTAAGGGTGTCAATGGCTGTGGCCTGATTGCCCCTAAGAATCTGGTCGTAACACGTAATACAGCCTGTGAAAACTGCAGCTGTTTAAAGTTCCGGGTGCTGTAGAAACTTAGAACAGCATCAGAACTCAGAATAAATTTGGGGGGTGCAGCTTAAAGGCTCATATAAATACGGTCAATGATGAAGTACAAGGTCTAAGGTCTACCCTTTGAGCCCGAGTCAGGATTGAGCAGCCTGGCATTTGCCGCTATCTCTACCTTCCAGTTCCACGTGTCAGCCCAGAGATGCCGGTACGAGAAGGGTTCCCGCAGTTCAGCTTGCCTCAGCTTGCCGGCTGGATTCAGGAGATCCAGAGTGAGATCGATCGAAAGACCCGCCTGCTGAACCTTGCAAGCCAAATGGTGGAGGCGCTTCAGAAACTGGACAGTCCTGAAGCATCCGCCATGGGTGAAGAGCAACTTCTCGGAGGACTTCATGAGGCATCGCAGAAATGTCCATCATCTGGCTTGCACCGAATTCACCGTTTGGAAGCAGCTTCGGCGGCTCAGCAAGAATTTCTGGGAAGTTTGGAGGCCTTCATCGCCAAGCAGATGTCAGAGCAGCATCAACGAATGATGAGCCTGGAGGCTGCGCTGGCTGGACAGGAAGAGCTCTTCAAAGGACTTCTGGATGCGCGAGATGGAGGTCTTGAGCAGGAAAAGACCCCGGCCCAGGCAGGTTTTGGTCAAATCGGCTTCACGGTGAGTTGACTTGTTTCTGAATGTGTCTGCCGACGGTCTGCCCACGTTTTGAATTTAGATATCATGTGATGCGCTTTGCGCTGAAAGACACAAGCTCGTGCTTGCTTCTGCTTCTCGAGGAGCACGTTTGCAATCTTTTGCACACACAAGACCCCAAGTCAAAAGGCTGGGAGTAGAGCTCATCCGCACGTAATTCTCACTCATTGCATTGATTAACAACATCCTGGAGCAAGAGATAGCAGGTGAATGCAAGTTGGTCGCTTGCCTTGTTGGGGTCCAGTTGGGTGGATCAAACGAAGGATTGCCACGTGTTAGATGAAGTGTTGAAGTCTCCATCTTCGTAGGGATTAACATTCACGGCTTAAAGTTTCCAGATGCTCTGTCTTTTGTGAATATACGAACTATTGCACTCGTACTGCACTCGTACACTCGTACACTTCACAGCAGTTGTTTAGCTCAATTTCTCGGAGTTTGAGAGATCTCTTAATTCCTAATCTTCCCAGAGAGGGGTCCAACCCTGTCAACTGGAACCTTCTTCCCTTGACCGCATTGACCTTGGAGGTGAGACGGTCATTGCTCTCTTCGCGCTCCACCCCTGCCACCGCTGGCAGCGACTTCGGTGTGTCCAGCGACGGCGACAACGAGGAGGACGACGGCGATGTCGACGGAGTGGAACAGGGCGACGCAGTGTCCTCGACCGATGCCGAGGCGCTAAGGGGGGAGGGGAGGAATTGGCGGTTTTCCGGAAAGATTCCCTCTTGTGCCCGAGAAAAGGAGGAAGATGTTGTGTCCACTAAGAGAATGGTGCATTACATTACATAGATCAAAACGTGTAGCGTTCTTGTCACACAAGCGTATCATATACAGGTGACTGATGATGGTCTCATAATGACTTTCAATCCAGGTGCTTGATTGCAGGGTCGCTGCAGGATCGGGACCCTTTCTTTTGCCGAGGACGACGAAGTGACCGAGCTGGTGATGGAGGAAAGGGCCCAGCAGTGGCCGCAGTGGCCCATCATTGAGACCACAGTGAGTGCCTTGGACGCCCCACGAGTTTGGGGGGGATCTCCGTTGCGATAGGAGTTGGGACGATACAAGTGGGGCTCAGCGAAGCTCCAAGAAGTCCGACTCATGGTCAGGTGCCCTCTTCTCACAGCTCCATGGGTGATTTTCCCACTCGGCCAACTTGATGCCTGCGGCGAGCAAATCAATCCGTTGATCTGTCCCATTTTCGTCCATGGTGAGGGAGAATCCCTCATGTTTTCTATGGATGTATGGCGATGACACCTCAGCCACCTTTCGCAGCTGGACCATCCAATTTCGGCGTGAGCCCAAGGATTGTAGGGGGTGGTAGTTTTCACCACAAAATCCAACCGTCTTTACTTGTTAGGTTCACTTTTTTCCATATGTCCTGCAAAAAGAGATCTTGAAGTATCTCAAAATTGAAGGGCGCCTTCCAAACCAGCTGTGCACTTTCATATACCTTTAATTAGAAGGGGTACCCGGATAGCCCAAGTCACAGACAAGAACCCGCAGGCATCACCCGGGATGGCCAGCGCGCGTCGCGCAAGCGCGGGCGGCAGTGCTCCGGGTGCCTGGCACCGCCAGTGCCTGGGAATGAAGATCGGCTCCCGCATCGGTTGGGGATGGGAACCAGGTGGGTTTTTGGGTCCTGGTTTTTGGCCGTCAAGGTGCTGCCGATACTGTGAATGGGAGTCCTTTCTTTTGAAAGGTATTTGTGCACCCAGCAATAGGCTTTCATTCATCTACCTTACTTCTGTTTATCCAAGACACATTTTCAAGAGAACAGCTTGAAGGACAGCAGTACTATAGCCTCCTAGAAGTCTTCACCTGTCTTTTTCAAGAGGCTAAACATCTTGGATGGTTGGTTTCCCCCAAAAGGGTCACTTGGGTTCCACAT